GCCCATGAAACCCTCTAAGTTGTAAAATACGACGGCTTACTATACAACCTTCTTAACCCTACTGTTTAACTAACGTATTGTTTTAAAACAATTCATTCACTTAATTTCCATAATTAAATAACTACATCAAATAACTTAAGTCAAATAAAACGAAGATGTAACTAAACCAAAAAGAAGCCAATTAATTCAAATAAAACAATTAACTCAATCAAATTATTCAAGTAATTAATTAAAACAAATTTAAGTAAATCATTTATTTAAAAATAAATACACACTTAATCAATTAAACAAACCAAAACACATAGCTCACATATTAAAAATGCAATAAAACTCAAAATTATCAAAATTAAATTCCCATTCTATCCTTTTGGAAACTAGGGGTATTACATTCTTCTCTCAATTTTGAAAAGCTTCTGGTCGATATCCATAATGCTCACCAGGTAGCGCTCTGGCAACCTAGTTGATCGGTAGAAGAAGGGCACAACCTTGGGCCGCCGATGAGAAATAAGCAATGGTAAGCAGCGATCAGTCTAGGTGGAATGAGAGGAAGCCGACAGCGACCTGGTTTGGTCGCTGCCGGCGGCGATTAGCTTCATCGCCAATAATATTCTTGCTGCCGGAGATGATGATGAGAAGAAACAAAAAAGAAAAAAAGAAAAAGAAAAAAGGAGAGGGTATTTTTGTAATTTAAAAAATAATAATTTTCTATTTTTAATTTAACATTAAATGATAAGGTTAAATTTGTCATTTCACAGCTCGGTTAACGGGTCGGACTCGGATATTGAGGCAATGTGATAACTTTATAATAGTGTTGGGGTTTTTAGAAACAGGTTGGGGTTTTATGATCACTTATTGATAGTTTTGGGGGTTTTGAGAAATTTGCTCATAAATCATCTATGGTTATTGTATGTATAGGTTGGATTAGGATTACATATTTTTAAATCAAAATAACCTAGTAATTACCGATTAATGTATTATATTTTGTAAATTAATAAAGGGCAAATTTCTTAAAACCCCCAAAACTATCAATAAGTGATCAAAAAACCCCAATCTGTTTCTAAAAACCCCAACACTATTATAAAGTTATCACATTGCCTCAATATCCGAGTCCGACCCGTTAACCGGGCTGTGAAATGACAAATTTAACCTTATCATTTAATGTTAAATTAAAAATAGAAAATTATTATTTTTTAAATTACAAAAATACCCTCTCCTTTTTTCTTTTCTATTTTTTTTTTTTTTTTTTTTTTTTTTCTTCTCATCATCATCTCCGGCAGCAAGAATATTACCGGCGATGAAGCTAATCGCCGCCGGCAGCGACCAAACCAGGTCGCTGTTGGCTTCCTCTCATTCCAGCTGGACTGGTCGCTGCTTACCATTGCTTATTTCTCATCGGCGGCCCAAGGTTGTGCCCTTCTTCTACCGATCAACTAGGTTGCCAGAGCGCGACCTGGTGAGCACCATGGATGATGACCAGAAGCTTTTCAAAATTGAGAGAAGAATGATTCACCAATGAAAAGTGTATGCATCAACGTCATGAAGATTTGACGATGAAGCCATTGAAGTGCCGAATCTCGAAGTCACAGATATTAAGGAACCATCGAGAGATATGGAGAAGAGCGAGTGAAAATGCTACACGACGACTCACCCACCTTTCTCTTCTTCCATTACCTCATCATCTTCATCTTTCTTCTCAGGGAACCTAATTTAAATGAGAGAGAAACTTTATGCTCTTCGTAAAAAAAAAAAAAAAAAAAAAAAAAAAAAAAAAAAATAGGCCCATTAAACTTGAATTTCAAAACATTTAATCACACGCAAGATTTGACTATTCCTCCATCTTAAGCCCAATCTTCCTCCTCCGTTTCTCATTCCAACGTACCCATTCTCTCTCTAGAAAATCAGGGACCCCAATTCTTCCAATTAAAGGCTCAGAAGTTACAACCGCAACATAGGTAGAAGAAACAGAGTGTTGAGACCAGAACAATGGCTTTAAACACAGACACGATCATGAAGAGAGAGTCATTGATGAACTCAATCTGAAAAGTCAGCCTCTTCCACCGAAACCCAGAACTCCTGAACCTCCATGTCCACGAACTCTTCTTCCCTAGTCTCTTGAAGCTGAACCACGGCTTCTTCTCCATCTCTCTCTCTCTTTACTTTTTCTCTCTCTATATTTTGTGTTGGTGCAAATGTATGACACGCAGTTTGGTTTATTATACACAATACTGGAGCTGTCTTTGCTTTGATTTCTTCATTGATACCTGGTTTGGTAGTTGCCGGCGGCGATTTGCTTCATCGCCGGCAGTATTCTTGCTGCCGGAGATGATGATGAGAAGAAACAAAAACGAAAAAAGAAAAAGAAAAAGAAAAAGAATAGGAGAGGGTATTTTTGTAATTTAAAAAATAATAATTTTCTATTTTTAATTTAACATTAAATGATAAGGTTAAATTTGTCATTTCACAGCTCGGTTAACGGGTCGGACTCGGATATTGAGGTAATGTGATAACTTTATAATAGTGTTGGGGTTTTTAGAAACAGGTTGGGGTTTTATGATCACTTATTGATAGTTTTGGGGGTTTTGAGAAATTTGTCCATTAATAAAATAATATTAATGGAGACATGGATGATTTTTCAAAGCCTAGATATTGGCTGTGTGATTTAAATAATTAAATCTGTATTTGATTTTGAATTCAAATCGGGTATTTGAATTTAAACAACATGAAAATACCAAACTACTTTCAACCGCTACAAGACTTCTCTATAAATAGCACTAGAAGATATCTGCACAATGGTCCCTGACCACACAATGCATTTTTCATCATGTAATATTTTCCACTTTCCTTGTATTTTTCTTTCCTTTTCCAGTATATTACTTTATCTATAGGACTGGTATTATAGTTTGATCCTTTTCCAGTATATTACTTTATCTGTATTTTCATAGGACTGGTATTATAGTTTGATTACAATTCCTTTACTTGTAAACCTTGTACTGGAATTCTATTTATGGAATAAGAGATTGGACACTTGGCTTTTGTCCCCTCTGTTATTTTATAAATTTCTGGGATTGATGAATGCTTTTGCAGTTCTCTTTCTCCTCTCATCTATTCCATTATCTGTTATTAAAGTCCCCTTCAATGAGGCATTGAAGAACCTAAAAGGAAAGTGGTAATCCTAACTTTCCTACAATAGACTGATTTCTTTTATTCGGTTATAAATAGGATAGGTTTAGCTATTCTAAATTTGAGTCAATGGGCTCTGGCACGCCCCTAAAAAAAAGATCCAAACAAAATAAATAAGGTATATAGTACTTGCCATCAACTTATGGTAAATCATAATCATCCAGGCTCATTAAAACAAATATTGATTTGTGCTTAATGGTAGAGACGGATCACATACTCTAATCCAAACAAAATAAATAAGGTATATAGTACCTGCCATCAACTTATGGTAAATCATAATCATCCAAGCTCATTAAAACAAATATTGATTTGTGCTTAATGGTAGTGACTACAAAAATAACCTCATAAATTTTTCTTAAGATAAATGAAATATGCAGATGTTAAAAGGATATAGGTATATTAGGAAATGCCTCTATTTCAAATTTATTGGATAAAAATTAATTACTAAATTTGTCTCACTTAGAAATTAAATAGATCCATATATATATATATATATACAATCTAAAATATATCCAAAATGACAACTAGGGTCATAAATTTTATTAACCTATACGAATCCAAAAGATAATGAAAAGAAAGAAAAGAAAAGTAATAAAAATATTTTTTATGCATGTCTATTAGAAAGAAAAAATATATATATGTTTTGATTTATCCTCAAACTCTCTCTCATTAAAAATTAAAATGCAATAAGAAAAGAAATATTATTGTGGTGAGGGTAACGCAGTCATTTTTGCATTATCCCCACTATTCCTAGGCTAAGAGCAACCGGTACAAGGGCTTGTTTGCTAGCTCTGGAGTTAGTGTTGTTAGTATGTGAATTGGTATAAAGCTAGCAATCTGTGGGACCCAAAGGAAAGCTAGCAAAGGGCATCGCAACAAGTAACAAGTCCTTTGCGAGCCAAACAAGCCCCACATGCCCTGCAGCAATAGCTCTTGTCCTCTTTTTTTTTTTTTTTTTTGCCCGCAAGCAACGGCTCTTTTCCCTTTTTTTTTTTTTTTGGTTTTTTTTCTTTACTATTTCTTTTTATATGTGATTTATTTTTATTGTAAAAAATAAATTTATGTTTTGATTATTTTATTTTATTTTTTATTTTGAAATAAATATTTATGATTTCTATTTCTTATTAGTCTTTTGAAAAAAAATTTAAAAAAATTTATCAACGAATTTTTTAAAACAAAATATCATATTGTTAGAAATGGTTTTAAAAAATACAAGCAAACAAAAAAAATAAATATATTTTTAATATTTTTTACTCAAAATATTAAATGCATTAAAAAAGTACAACAAAAAATAATAAAGTACTAAATATTAACTAATTCATATCGTATAAATAAAATAGCAGTATATTATTACTAATCACATCAACACAATTGCTGACATAACCGGCAATCCAATAAAGTTTTGCTAGCATGTATTGCCAGCACTTGCCCTAATCGCAATACGTATAGCAGCGCCGCCAACTTGATAAAGCCCTATTTTCTGATAAAGCCGTACTCTCTCTTTGACACAAACAAATTCAGACCTAAACCCTCGAAAATCTTTTCCTCCCCTTTATTCCTTTGCAAATCGCAATACGTATAGCAGCGCCGCCAATTTGATAAAGCCCTATTTTCTGATAAAGCCCAATTCAGACCTAAACCCTCGCAATAGGTACAGCAGCGCCGCCAACTTGATAAGAAGGGCTTATGCTCGGTCTTCTCAATACGCCGAGGCATTTTCATGCGTCCGATGAACCAAGTTTTCGACTTCATCACAGCATCTTGAAATTGAAGTCTCACACAGTGCAGCATTTGCGAAGGTATATTTCTATTTGATTTTCTTTTGTCCTTAAGCCGATGTAAATCCAATAGTTCCCTTTGACTTCTTCTTTATCAATCGGCATAGCATGTTATTTTCTGATAAAGCCCTATTCTCTCTTTGACACAAATTCAGACCTAAACCCTCGCAATACGTACAGCAGCGCCGCCAACTTGATAAAGCCTTATTTTCTGATAAAGCCCTATTTATTGATAGAGCCCTATTCTCTCTTTGACACACAAATTCAGACCTAAACCCTCGAAAATCATTTCTTTCCCTTTTCTTTCCGAAAATCTCGTTGCCTCTCTAAACCTTTACTTTCCTTTCTCTTCCATTCCCTTTTTTGGTCGATTGATACAGATTTTCACGTCATTCGCATTCAATTCTGGTAATTATCTTCGAATTTTTGTTTATCTTCGTATTTTGCTAATTGTATGATTTCAGGGTTATATTTTAATTGATGTTTCATGATTCAAGGATGTGATTATTGATTAATTTCCAAAACCAATCACTACTGTTTCATACAATTTTTTTTTGGAAGTTGCAATTGTTTTCTCCCTATAATTAGGTTGCAATTAGGGGTTATCTTTATTTGTTCCTTTTTAATAACTCGTGTTCTATTCATTGAATTAAAAAAGAAAAATTATTATTATTATTATAACTTGGGGTTCTTATATTCATTCTTTTCATTGAATTAAAAAAGAAAAGTGATCTTTTTAATGTATTTAGTCTTGTTTGTGGTGCTAATTGTGCAGTAGGTGATTCATGCATTGTTGGTGACAAAATGGTGTCTGGGATTCGTTCGGGAAATCTGAACTGTGACAAGACAAAGAAGAAAAATGTTAGGAAAGATTCATTTGTGGAAGTATCAACTGGAAAGAAGGCGCACCAATTGCAGGGTTTCCTTCAAAATGATGCTTTCACCTACCTGAAACCAGAAAAGATCAAATTAAATATTGAAGCATTGGATGATAACACTTTGTGCGAGCTGGAAAGAATTATCAGGAGTTGTCTCGATGCAAGGGCTATCAAAGTAAGTATTTTTCATTGATTAGTTTTCAACTGCAAGGTTGAGGTTTTGCTGTTGTGGTTTTGCTCATTAAGCTTCTTGTCTAATTCTTCTTCAGGCTGGTAAAGCTGACCAGGCTAAAAGGGAGGAAAAGGAAAGAGTTGCAAGGCTGCATGGGAAAGGTAATCTTTACTATTCCATAAATGAACTCAAGTTTTATTAATTTGTGTTTTGGATAAATAAGTTTTTGGCTGAAATTGAGAAAAAAAGGATAGGATATTGGCTCCCCTATGGTTATTTTTTAGTTTGCATTAAGTATCTCAGGTGTGGAATGCTGACAGGAGCATAGGTTCCATATTGCATGAAGTGACTTTACAAGGGGAAATGAGACATTTTTCTCTTCCTTCTAATTGAAACAAAATGTCAATTCAAAATCATATTTGAACTCTTAAATTTCTTGTTTACAGATAAGGGCAGAGTTGAACCCCAAATCAGAGCCGATGAATCTTTTTCACAAAAGATAGCAGAAGCACGACAAATGATGCAGAAGAGAGAAAGAGACGCTGCCCGACTTCGTCTGCAGAAGGTTTATGTTTGTCTATTTTTTGTTCAAATTTTTTTTTTTTTTCTTTCCTGATGTACACCTTTGAATCTGTTGCTTAAAAAGAAATTAACTTGTCTTCCCCTTTCCTCGTTTCAGTTGGAGAAGACTGTAGAGTTCGAGGACAATCTGCAAATTGTCCAATACTTTGAGAACCTTAGAGTATTTGTATCAAATAAACCGTTGGAGTTATTGGGTTTGTTTCTGAAGGAGGATGACTTCTACATGGATGAGGAGGCGATTGATGTAGAAGAGGGAGAGATCTTGGGATAAGTTTCAAACCAGAATAGCTTCCAACGCCATTCATTTTTTTCAGCAATTTGGAATCAGTTCATTCTTTACAACTGTAAAAGAAAATTTTGCGAATAGAAATGTATATGTTTACTGCTGCAGAAAACTCTGAGAAACAGGGCTAAAGCTTGCCTGAAATGGCACAAGGCTAAAGCTTGCCTCTTATGTACAGAGAGATTGCCACTGTAATTTTTTTTGGTGTTACTTTGGCAAGGTGTATTTTGACTTTTGCTAGGAGTTGACTCTTGCTTAGTTCCTAGTTGTTGAGTGGCCATGTGCCTTGTTTGTGAATTGTATAAAAGTTCACCTGTAACTAGTTTTATTTCAAGTTAATAAAATCATGACACTGTTTCTTTTCCTCTGGTTTGAAACTTTCTTGTTTGAGGCTTGATGATATGCTAGGTTGCAATTGATGCATTGAAATTCTACTGCCAATGATACGTGGATGTTGCGGGAATGAGGTATTAATCCCATGGAAGGTAGCTGCCTTGTATCTCTCACACTTCAATTAAAGACCCTTATTAGTGCCCATGGATAATAATAACTCAAGCTGGTAGGTATTAGTGGCTATGTCGAATGCAATAATTATGGCATGCTAGTTTTATGTTGTTGTCATCGTTGCACTGATTTGGTGCTCCAAAATAACCACTTTGAAGTTCGGATCAAATTAGTACCTCCATAAAGCTCTCTTGTGCTTTGGATCATGTTCACTTTCAAATTCTACCGCAATTTGTTGGTTCCTTTTGCACCTGATTACCAAATTAATGTTCAAGTCTTCGGATATATAACGTCTCAGCAGTACCATATATACATAAAAACCAATATCATTCCATTATTATGCAACCCTAAATTGTAACAAGTTTAGATACAAAACAGGATTGAATTATCCCACCATAAAATTCATCAATGTAATAGAGACTAGTATAACTTTACATACAAGAGGTACCATAATACCATTTACAAGATTTAACTCCAAACCAACAAGTACATAAAACAATTTTATTTATAACAACATTATCCCACCAGCAATGTGGTACGACTTATATACAACACATATACTCCAAACCATAATATACATCGATCACACCATTTTATTTATAACAACATTAAACAAGACACAATTTTATAAAATTTAACTTCAAACCTCAATATATTACACCATTTTATTTGTTGAGCAAGTTCATGATCACCATCAATTTCAATTTGCATTCGCTCTAAGAATGACTTTCCATTGAGCTTATGGGAGTAGAAATCTTTGACACACTTCTCCATCTCCACCCTTTTGAACAATGGTGGGTTTTCTGGGTTTATAGTACGAGCTGTAGGTCCAACCTTTGCTTGGAATTTGGGATTGAAAAACATAGCAATAGAGATCCTCTCTTCCAATGGATTTACTGTCACCCTGTGCTCAATGTTGCGATAGACACCATTGCTAAAGATCTGTACATGAACACAATAAACAGAAAGAAATTGAGAAGGCAAGCAACAAAGAGGCTGACCAAAATACAATGTTAAGAAAGACACAAATACAGCTTCATCCATGTGGTGGAGACAAGGATGCTTTGCGAGATGATAAAAATTACTAGAAAAGATAAGATAAATAACATGTGACTATGCGATGGGAACGTTAGGTATAACAAGATAAAACTACGAAAAGTAGACTTAGGGTGGTATGGTCTTATTCAACGTAGGTCCCTATATAAAAAGAGCAAGACTTGTGTGTTTTGAAGGTAAGCGACAAAGAGGCCGACCAAATATGAAAATAATTAGTGTTGTTTCCTAAAGATATTTGGAATTGAAGTGTTTGGTGTTAACAAGTTAAATCATGGAACTCACACCATGGCCATATTATGATGAATATGTCTGTGGGACGATGAATAGTAGACTCAAACAGTGGGAAAAGGAAAAGGAAAATTCAAATCAAACTAAAGAAGGTAGGTGAGTGTAAAAAAAGAATTAAACGAGTCTTAGCAATTAAGACCAAGGAAGGTGAGTGTAAAAAAAATTTAAAATTTATTACAGAACTTCACAAATTAAGCATCTGTACTTACTATACCAGCAATTAGTAAAGGAGCCCAGAATGTTGAAATGAGTGATGCTGCATAAGTTAATTTTAGGAAAAGGAAATTGTGATCCTGCAAAACTTATGTCAGGCAGTAGTAGCTAGGTAAAAAATATAGTACTAGTCTAGTGTACGAGACTCCTATCATTGCAAGATTTAGGAAGAGTCAGCTGTAAGTTGTCTTACGTACTTGTGGAAGGCCATTTCTGTTTTGAATCTGTGACCTCTAGGTCACAAAAGAGCAACATTATAAAAGGTACTTGTATATTTTAAATTGACATCCAAACCAGAAAAAAGGTATTGAAAATTTATTAGATTTAGTTAGTGATAAAGAGAATGGGGAAGGATCTAACCATGTAGGTATGCAAACCTCTAGAAAGTCTCCTACATTCACCATAAAGGCACAAGGAAGGAAGTTTGTAGGGATCCAAAATCCATCTTTTCTAACTTGGAGGCCTTCCACTCCATTGACTTGGAGAAGGATGGTGATGCCAGAAGCGTCCGAGTGCGGTGTAAAGCCAACAACCAGCTCTGGTTTTGGACATGGTGGATAGTAAGTCATCCTCACTGATTGCATCCCATCTTCAAACATCTCTTCTACCTCTTCCTCATCAATCTGTAGAGCCTTTGCCATCAACCCAAGAATTGTTTTGGAAAGTTTTTGCAACTCAGAAAAGTATGATTCCAAGGTATTCCTGCAGTGATATGGATGAAATATACGTACATGTAAGTATTTTACACACATAAAATATACACATATATGAATGCATGCATACTTACATATAGCAATGCATAAATACAAATATATTATGCATGTGTGTGTGAGAGAGAGTGAGAGCACCTAAGTGATGAAGGGATATCTGGCAAGAGGGGTGGCTTTCTTCTATGGTTGGGGGTTAGTTATCATTTTTTTTTTTTGATAAGTAAAAAATCATCATTATTATTTTAAACTTTACTTCAAACTTTACTTCAAATGGTTGGGGTTTAGTTATCATATAAAATCTATCAGCCCAGTCAACCTTCTGATCTTCGGAGAAGAGAATGGTTTGTCCATACCTTTCAACATCACCAGGCCTCATCTTATGTTTCATTTTCTCTTCCATAGGGAGCTTGTAGAATTCTTCAATCTCATATTTCAGTTTCTCCACTAATGAAGAATCCACTCCCTGGTTCACCAGCTATAAACATATATAATCACTACTGTTAATTTTTTTGCAGTATTTTCTTTTATTTGTAAACATATATCTACATATATACACACACACACAAACAAACAAATGGGAAAACAAGGCTTAATTATTGTATGGTTTTAATTTGGCCAAATCTATAACTTGTATTTCTTTTAGTTTCCTTCTTTCTTATCTTTTTGCCTGCAACTATGTCTTTGAAATATCCAACTAGCTAATTTGCCATTTAAAGTTATGCCATGTTTTGGACCCAATCCACGCCTTGAATTTGGAATTGGAGGAAATTTAGGACAAAGTCTGAATTAAATTTCCTTCAATTCTCAATCTAAAATGTCGATTCATTACTCCCAAACGTAACATTACAGAAAACAATGAACAAGAAATGCATATTTTCACAAAGTGAAGAAGGAATTGGGAAATTTAAGAAGAAATACACAGCCAAGAATAAAAGCTCAATGGACTAAATTCTATACTTTCCAAGATCAACTTTCAAAGCACATCTAGGATTGGAAAGAATTTAATGACTAAAATTTTGTGAAGGGGGATGAAATTAAACCTGAAAAATGCTCCACTCTTTGCATGTTGAGTGCAACTTCTCTAGTTGATAATCTTTGGCTTCTTCCATAACCAAATGTTCCATATTGATTAAAGAAATTGTGGGCAAGGAAGTTCCATCCAAGAGAATTGAAGATTCTTGATCCAGTTGAACATAGTGGTTTGGTATGGCAAGCACGGGCTCTTTCGCAAGCTCCTGAACACTAAGTGAACTCCTAGGGCTAGGGGTCACTGGTTTTCACAAGCTTCTAAACTAATATTTATTTAGTAGTTTTGACACCTACTAAATTTTTCATGCAGAGATACCCTGGAAGTTTATGCGTCTGAGTTGAAACAACATGCTATAAAGATACTCGATTTCATAGCTAAAGCTCTAAAGATTGCGGCTGGGGATATAAGAGAGTTGTTTGAGGAAGGGATGCAGTCAATGAGGATGAACTACTATCCACCATGTCCACATCCAGAGTTGGTTCTCGGCCTCACCCCTCACTCTGATTCTGTTGGCCTCACCATCCTCCTTCAAGTTAATGAAATGGAAGGTCTGCAGATAAAAATTGTGGGCATGCCACTTTCACTACTACTACCCAAAACCTTTATCACTTCTCCCTCATCATCAAGATGCCTTCAACTTGAACCACAATAGTCTTTAGTAGAGCATTCATTGTTATTGGGTATGAACAAACCATAGCAGGTCCGGGACTTGATCTTAATTGCACCCATCAAGAGGCAGCGCCACCATTATGATTCTCTCTCTATTTTGCCAGCATATGGATACTGTAATATCCTTAATTATAGTGCAAATTATCCCACTAAATCAGGATGCAGATCAGTTAGCAGTCGTGTCCTCAGCTCATGGTAACACCAGGCATCAATTATGAGAAAGACAGCCATCAAATTAAGAGAAGTGCTGTCAGAGCTTCCCAAAATGCCACTACATTCAAGCATGTATGAAAGTCACAGGCAGCTAGAGAGAGAGAGACCTTATATGTTTATTAGATATTGTTATTAATTAGAAAAATAAAGAAGTATAAATGTTACTGTGTCTGCGCTAGAGTGCAAAAATTTACAAAGTAGTTAATCCTTTACAGAAAATGTTGCCAGTTCATACTTCCAAAAGTATCTTTAAGTAACACAAAATCCTTGCATTATAATGTAGGAAGAAAACATAAACCTTGCAACAACTTGTCTCTGAACCTAGCATATTCACGAACGCGCCCTTGGTGACCAAGCTTACGCATTTACCCCTAAATCTTCGACCATGAGCAAGAGGTAACCACCACAACACTTACTTGTGAATTTTCTAACTAAAGTAAAAAGTAAATCAAAAGTCAAGCTCGTTAACATATACAACATTCATAGGTGAAGACTTTAGCCTCAGCAAGAGTAGCTATTACAAAAGACAATGTGACGGGTAGGGGGGTTGGTGAGATTGTATTGACCGAACGGAAGAACTGAATAGACAATAATTTTGATCAAGGAAATTTGCTAACCTAAGTTCTATTGACTTGACAACTCTAATATGAGTTTACAAAAATAAATGGACAACTTGTTCATTTTAATGATATTAACTTTTTCTTATTTATGAGTCAATAGAAAACCATTCTTAGCATAAAAATATACCATCACATTCTATGCCACTGTACAAGGCTTCCCCTCTGACCCTGTCATACCGTATTTGCTGCTAGGGTATGTGACATGTCATGACCTATTCCCATTCTACATACAAAATGATCCATGTTCTTGGACACATCAACTACAAGTTTCCTCTAGTAAGAGATCTGAGTTTTTTTTTTTTTAACTGCATTATGAAGCCATTTTCTCAAGAATTACAAGGGTGCAATGCTAAATGTTAGGACATCTACAAGCAGTGTGCAGATGTAATGGCTTACAGGTTAACATCATCCTTGCCTTAATCCCATATATATGGGGTCGGCGACATGAATTCTCTTTTTCCATTCTTTTCTATTATAAGCCATCTCTCCTCTAATATTTAACTTTTTGAAATGATTTCTTTCCACGTTAATTTTGGGCGCCAGCTCTCCCTCCTACCCCTATGCAATGGCTTACAGATGAGAGGAAGAAAATAACACAAAGAAAAAATGTAATCTTCCTCTTCTTACCGGTGCATCTATAGGTCTTCTATGCAATGGCTTACATGTGGGAGGAAATAAATGACACAAAGAAAGATCTTTAAGTTGAAGGGTACGATGGATGTTCAAGAAGTAAGCACTGACATCAAGAGTGGATTATTTATATAAAGCTCTTTCTAGTTGCTCACCAATTGCAATTCAGGCTTCCATATCTCCATCTCTAAAGGCTAACAACCTCAACTTTTAGCATATGTTATTCTAAGCTGCTAATCGAGTCTAGCATTATCAAACTTTTAAAAAATTTGGAAAACAAATCCCTCATTCCATTCAGCCAACACTTGCAGAACTGGCCATACATCCCAAAAATTTGGCAAAAGCCAGATGTCTTAATGGGACCATACCATTAAGCCACATTAATCCTGTTGGGATATTTTAATAAAAATCCTTATTTATTGTGGTTTATTATATTTTATTAGTATGTTAATTCCTAAAACTATTTGACCATCAACGGTTACAACCCAAGCATAATATAAAAATTCCCAACAAATCCTCCTCAAGTAGCCTCATTAAACACCAGTCAATTCATTGTTTCAGACCCAAAATGCTAGAAGAATCATAGAGCACACATGAGTAACAGACACAAATTCCCCAAAAAGCACAATATTATCAAAATAAGAAACACTTAACATTCAGACACAAAATAAATCACTCGTCTAGGATGCATAAGTTTAAAGTGAAAGCACAGGCTAAAAAAGTAGAAACAAAATTAGGCACCATAGGTAATTAGAAGCTAAGTAAGCGATCACCAGTATTATGATATTCTTTCTCCAATTGTTACATTTTCTTTTTCCCGCTGTTCGGAAGTCGACTATTTTACCAAGAAATTGGGTTAGTTAATTACTCCCAAAATACAAACTAACACAACAGGTTGAGAAATAACTCAAAACATCAATGGATCACTAATCTGTACTTTTCCCACTCGGCACATTTCTTCAATTAAATTTTGGTCCAGCCTTTTATAACTCATGCTTATAAAACCGTCAATGGCATTAATAATTTTGCATACCCAACAAAAATTAACAATTTTTTTCTGCTAAAATTATTATCACTAACCAGACTAGCATCATGACCAAATCTATTCCACATCCATTCTACAATAGTTCACTTGTTAACCAAATTATCAATGTGACAAGCAATACGTATGTGTGTGTATATATGTATAACATTTTAAAATATATAAAAGGGAGGGGAAAAGAAAAGGGTGAAATTAATCTAGGGTTTACCTGGGAGGTCAAATCAGCAGCGGCGAACATAAATGAGGCAGTGGCGCTTTTAGTGAGCAGAGGACGAGACTCGAGCTTACCCAAATACCATACAAGAAGTCCCATCTTTGAATACGACGACGATGATGATGCAGAAGATGAATATGAAGGAGATGATATATAGAAGGATGAGGGAGAGGTTTTGGAAACCCTAATCTTAGAGAGATGGTGAAGACTGGTGCATTGTGCGGAATATGCAGATTGTAGCCAAACAGGGGAATTGACGATGGAATTTGAATATCTGGTGGGATTGGATGATGATAATTGTTGAAGAAAGAAGGAGCGTTTGGTTACGTTTCTCATGTGAAAAAAAGATTCCCATTATTTTTTCTTTTCTGTGGTTTGCCCTATTTCCAGTGATAGATTGATTTGGAAACGGAAACAACGTCTATTGTGGTTTTGGCATTTGTGAGTTGGAGATATTTTCAGGTTGGTGTCGCTGTCTCTCTCAATCACCGGTGTTGATGCTGATATATAAAATTCCGTGTTTGTAATGTACTTAGGTGCAATCTAATTGTCAGTTCAGGACGGTGACAGCTGGCCAGGTCTAAGTCAAAATGTTTTTTTGTTTTTTCTTTCTTTCTTTTGACAGTAAAATTTTTTTTTCGAAAGTTGACAGTAAAATTAGTTTATACTACTAGTGAAGTGTTAGTCCATCTTCCAAACTTAGTTTTTGGATTGAATTGTGAAACATGGTTGGTATCACAGTCAACAAATTACTTTATTCGTTGTCTCGCTAAGTTATCCGGACGGATGGAGAAGAATGTTACAAAGAAAATCTTGTCTTATTTTAAATTCGAATGAAAAGTTAAATAAGTATATATAAATTAATTGTTAACCTCCACCTAATATAACTTTTTAGATTGAATACATTGAATTCGGATGGAAAGTTAAATGAGTATGTATGGGTTAAGGGCATGTTTGTTGTAGTGGAATGAATTGGAATGGAATGAGAATGAAGGTAAGAATAGAATAAGAATGGGATGGAATAGGAATAATGATTCTCATTCTATCATTTGGTTACAAATATGGAATATGTAAAAATAGAATCTCATTCTTATTCTTATGTTTGGTAAGAAAGTTGGAATAGAATGAATTTAAATTGTTTTTTTAAATTACATTTTATTATTAGTAAAAAAAAATTAACTAAAAAAATTAATCTGCAAAAATAAAAGGGAAAGAGATAATAGAGAGAGAAAAATAGACGAGATAGAGAGAAACAACAAAAATAAAAAGAAAAGAGATAATAGAGAGAGAGAGAAAAAATAGACTAGATAAAAGAAACAGAAGGATAAAAGAAACAGAGGGCTCTCCGACGACTATAAAAATAAAAGGGAAAAATATAATTTTTCGATCATCTTTTTCGGCGAGAAAAAGAAATAGAGGGCTAGATAATGACTGAGAAAGTTGCATAACAAAGCACAAAAGCTCATAGAAGTTCAATTATACTATTTTTGTCTCATCCTTGTGTGTGTAAATCGGAGAGAGGGAACAAACGGCATATAAATACATATTATATTTTATATGGTGTGTGTATGCGTAAATTATCTCTTTAATTTACTTTATTACTTTATTAATTCTTGGTGGGAATAGAATGGTCATTTCACCTCTCGATAAGAGGAATGGGCATTCCATCTTTTTGATGGAATGGGCATTCCTTAAGAATGACCATTCCACTTTTAATGTGATATACTAAACAAAACAATGGAAACAAATGCATTACATTTCACTTTATTTGATGCCATTTATTTACACCAAACATATCCTAAGTGTTAGCCTCCACCGAATACCAGGCTCGTTACACATCCTGACCTCATTAGTTAGCTAGATGAGAAGTGAAATGGTTATGTGATTTTCTCTCTAATAGGTTGTAACACCTCATTAATGCCAAGTACTAGGCTCGTTACACCTACTGCCCTCATTAATTAGCTGGATGAGAAGTGAAATGGTTAAGTGATTTTCTCCCTTAATAGGTTATAACACCTCATTAGTTTTCTAATGGGAGAGATTACATATTGAACCTGAATGGGAAGTGAAATGTCTATAGATAAGTTGTCTTAAAAGACAATTTTAATGTCTTTTAAGACATTAAAATAATAATTATTATAATAATAATAATTATTATTTTGCCATTAAAAAAAAAATGTTAACCATTTGATAACAATGTTGACTAATCATATTAAATAACTAAAACAGAGAAAAGAAGAGAGTAATAATTTTTTATCATACTAAAAAAATGGCAGAGAGAATATAAAAAGAAAAAATATTCTATTAGGCCAAATCTAGGTCAGCGTATTTAACCATAAATTTAATTCCTTTTGCTCCTTGTTAATTTTATGCCTAATTATTGAAATTAATCATTTAAACTCTATTAGATCTTCTTTTCTTAATTTGCATTCAATTATTGCTAGTTACGAGGTACTTGATAACTTTAGTTAGTACTCAGATTATCAATATAATAACTCAATTAAGTGTATTCGATAACTCAATTTTAATATTACTTTTAAAAAAATCTACTTAAAAAAAAAATAAAAAAATTAAGGGCATATATGTCTATTATAGTGAACCTAGAATTCAAATAAGTATTATTAATAATAAATCAGTGCATAAATTTAGTCAAATTTCAGTTCATATTATTTGTGCAAATAGTTTAAAAATTAGTATTTTCTCTTAAATCAACTTAGTATTGATTCTGTTATGAAGCATGTAATAAATAATAAGTAAGTTGTAACCACTTGGGCTCTGTTTGCGTAAAATATCTTTCTCAAAAAATATATTTTACATAAACCTCTTCAAGTAAAATATTATATTATTTTTATTTTTTGGTATTTGGCAAAGGTCCTGAAAAAAAAAAAAAAAAAAGCACAAGTTGTTTTTGTTAGGTTTATATTACTATGTAAGTATTTTACTTAAATTTTGGACAATCAAATACCAAAAAACTAAAAATAAATTAAATTAAATTTTAACATCCAAACAAGGGGAGCATTAATCTAGATTATCTACTTCTCGAAGTGAAAAGTAGATGGTTCAAATCCCCACTAGGGCATGCAGATGTGTAAATTTCTTGTCAAGATAAAAAATAATAAATTAAATAAAGGGCTTCGAAGGCAGCCAAGAGGTCGCCGAAAAAGCTAGGAAGGAGAGGTTAAGGTTTCAATCCGAAACCTTAAGGCAAGTTTTGCTCCCACTCTCTCCCTTAGATTCATGCTCTATGCATGCCTAGGTTAATTCCAGAAGTAATCAGATATTAAATCAATCTATTATGCATGCTTGAACTGAATTAAAACTAATTTTATGTGTTGTTATGTGTTCTTGCTTAATCATGAATTTTATTGCATGATAACTTGTTTTGATATAGGATTAAGATGCATAATAACTTTAATTAATTATCTGGGGATGTCTGGAACTTAGAACAGAGGGTTAGGACCTTTAACATTGACAATCGGATCAGCCAAAAGTCGCTGGAGACGAAGAAGACGGAGAGTAGCAGGAATGGAGGTGGCTCCATTCCTAGAGGTTGGTTTTTGACGTGTTTTTGGGTTCTGTTTTGGTATTTTGAAGTTCTAAGGTTGACTTGGAGGTTCACGGGGGGTTTTAAATGATTATTATTGACATGGTAAAATCACATAATGCATAATAAACACTAGTATGTTAAGAACTTGAACAATATGAAATTTTAAAATAAATTGGCATGTTATTATTGGATATGGATGATTTAATTGCTTACTGTTATTCTAACAATTTAAAGTGGATATTGGGTGACGTTAATTATATTTTGGCAGTGTAATACAATCATGTTTTGTTTATGATTTTATTATGCTAAGGATTAAATCAGTACGAAATTATAATTGAATTTGCATGTTGATAATAAAGGATTTAATTGCTTAAAACAATTATAGCAATTTAAATGGAAGTTATATGATTTTAATCATGTATTGGCTGCATAATATGATCATGTATATAACTGATTTCTATTATGCTTATTTCTGAATTTATTTGATGTAATATTATAACTATTACATCAATTATTGGATTGTGTAGATGAAATGCACCAGTATGGGATGATGGCATTTTAGGGACGGATTAACGGAAAAGTTAAACCCTACCTATTCTTGTATAAGGGAATGAATTAACTAAAATGTTAAATCCTATTTATATTCATGTCAGGTCAACGAAACAGTTGGATGATATACCAGATATTTATTTTATATTTTGGATTGGACGAATTTTATATATGTATAATTATATTCGATGATATGTGTACACACAAATTTTGTAAGTTTGCAATAGAAACAAAATATGGAGCAAATAATATAATTTATTAATTTGAGAAATTGAGGTACAATCCTCTGTAATATTCTTTACAAAAGAAAGAACTGGTCCTCTGATTAAATCTCATTTTTTTGTTGGTTGGTTGGATCCAAGGGCTGCACAGGCTTGATCTTGAATCACCGTGGAATTTGATGAAGAACGGCACGTCTTTGGCTGTGCTTGTTGTTGATCACCGTGGAATTTGATGAAGAACGACACGATTTGATGTGCTTGGTGTTCTTCACTTTTGGGTTTGGATGTTGGGGATGAGAGTTTCTGTATTTCTCTTTGAAATTCTAGATTTCTGAATTTTGATTTTGTGTACATCTTTCTTCTTCCTCCAAGCCTCTATTTATAGGCTTATTGGATTAATAGGATGATGACACGTGTCATCTCCTGATAAGGATAAAATTATAACTGGGCCGAGCCGGTTATACTTATTTCAAATATATTTTATTAAGAATAATTATCTGTTTATTTAACCATCTGGGCTGGGTTAATTAAATAATTTAAGTGGACCAAGCCTGGGCCAATTAAATAACTTAATTAAACTTTAAGCCCATATTTAATGGGTCCATTTGTCAAAGCTAAAGTCCACTAAAGTTTTAGTGTCTACAAATTGCCCCCATTTCAAGTCCCAAGTTTGACAAGACTTATCTGTTTTTTCAAGTGGGACTTGAAGTATCCAACTTGGTATTTGAATTGTAAAAAACTTTTTCTATTCAACTTTGGATGATATAAAAATTTTGGCTTTTTTCACTTTTCTATTCAATATTGGACCGTAATTCTTCACTTTCCAATTTGAAAGGATTATTTTTTCCTCTATAAATATGACCACAGGCATGGGTTCATCAGTATCACTTTAAAGCTTCAAAAGTCACTATTAGACCCCGAAGATACTTGAGGCATTGAGTCACGTCGACCAGCTTAGCGCACCAAATTGTCAGCCTTGCTCAGCACTTTTTTCAACCGTGAAGGTATGCTAAAACAAAATCTTTCTTTCTTTCTTTCTTTCTTTATATCTGCATATGTCTGTAATATAT